AGGCTCAAAGGTCATATTGTTCCCTGAATTATCGCAGGAAATCCAGCAACTGCCAGTTTCAGGATGTCAAGAAGAGGTTACAAAAGTTACACTTCTCCTACTCTATGATCTACCCTGCGAGGCTTCGCATTGTGGCAGATGGCGAGACCCATTTTTAAAATTCTCCTCCTCAAGCTTTGGCCTGGCTGGATCATCATCATAAGAATTGCTCTGATGCAACCTGAAGGTGTTCTACGATGTGGCGCTGTTCTGATTTCTACTGGGGCCTTATGGTTTTGTGATATCCACATTTTTTTTGTTTATATTTTTCTGTCTGCCATATGGCTTGGCTCTGCTACATCCAGTTTTCCCGTTGTGGTTTTTTTGTTGTTGCTACTTGTGGAACTGCCTGGTGCCGTGTACCCCAAAGATTTCCCTGTGTGGATAGTTTGATTCACTTGTTTGTTTTTTGTTGTTGTTTTTCTGTTCGCTCTTTTTAATCACTGGGCTATGACTAGCTCTATCACTGTGTCGTTCTACTTAGCCCTACCATTTGGATTTGGATCCTGGATCCTAAAGCTCTTCCTCAGTGTTCATATTTTTTAAGACTTATGTATGCCTCAACAAGTATTTAAGTTAGCTTCCTGCAATGTTTGAGGTCTTGGAGTTGCTACTAAGAGGCGCTCTATATTTGATTGCACTCTTTAGAGCAAGTTCTCTGTTGCATGTCTGCAAGAGACTCATACTACATTAGAAACATACCATGTACTTGACAGGTGTGTTTACTAGGCAACTTATCATTCTTTTTACTACTCATACTCACGTGATGCCTCCATACTTATTCAAAGAGATATTCTGTTCTCCTGCATACAGGCAAAGGTGGATAGTACAGGGCATTACATCTTACTTCAGTGTCCTTTATTTGATCTTGAAAGTATTATTGCTAACATCTACATTCCTCCGCCATTCTCCAGCAGTGTTCGAAAAAAGATTTAGCTAAACCTTTACTTGATAAGCTCCCTATTCCTGTCATGGCTGTTGGCCATTTTAATAACTGTATGGACCCCTATATGGACAGATTCCCTAGATCAGGTTCAGCTGCTTCTTCACTTGCAACTCCTTTTAGTAAACTACGTTCTGAGATGGGTTTTGTTGATATCTGGTGGTTGTTTCACCCTCTGGAGTTTCAGAGCTTCCTGCTACTCTAATACACACAATACACTGTCCCGCATTGATTACGCTCTAGGTACCTCTGAAGTCCTTCCATTTATTAGATCGTTAAACATTCAGTCTAGATGTTTATCTGACCATTCCATGCTATTACTTCACCTGTTTAGAGGTCGATACCCCTTTCCACCTAATTGGAGTTTAGATCTCTTTTGTTTGACTTTGATGACTGATCAAGCACTGCTGAAGAGGAACATTTTCTTTTTCCTGTCCGTTAATGTCCCCTATGCTTCTCCTGGGGTTGTGTAGGATACACTGAAGACGTACCTGAGAGGTCTGTTTATTAAAAATGTTAGCTATATTAAATCCTCCTCTAGGCATGCTGAGGTCGAGGCCCGTCGATCTGTGTCAGAGTGTGAGCTGGCCTATATAAGTGACCCATCTGACAATACTCACAGAGCTTGGATGGCGGTGGGGACGCATCTGGAGAACTTAATTAAACAAAAATATCAAAATAAACTGTTTTTTTTCATAGAGTGTTTTGGTCGGAGGGTGATGCTACAGGTAAACTTCTTGCTCAGATTTCCCGTGCCCAACAGGTCAGTGCTTATATTTGTGCTATTACTGATCCTACTGGTGTTACACATCAAGACCCTGTAGCAGTTATAAATAAGTTTTCCCATTTTTACAAAACTTTGTATACTTCTCAGGTACAATATACAGATACTGACCTGATATCTTATCTCCAACATATCACTTTACTTGCCTTGTCAGAGACTGATAGATCAGACCTTGATGCTCCTATAACTGCTGAAGAATTAGAGAGTGTGATAAGTAACTTTCCCATTGGGAAGGCCCACGGCCCTGATGGTCTTCTCATGGAAGTTTATAAGACCTATATGCACTCACTTCTTCCCACCCTACTTCAGACATATAACCATGCCTTCTCTAGAGGAAGCCTCCTGTCCACTATCTATGACTCCACCATTATTGTTCTCCATAAGAAACATAAAAACCCTCTCTTACCAAAATCATATCGACCGATTTCCCTTTTTAATGCAGACGTAAAGTTTTTGCCTAAAGTGCTTGCCAATAGACTTTCCTGTAAAGTTTCTTCTATTGTACATCCAGATCAGTCTGGTTTTATGCCTCACAAGTCTACTGCTGTCAATGTCCGCAGGGTGTTTTTGAACATGCAAGTTCCAATTGACACCTTCGGTAACAGAGCCCTACTGGCCCTAGATATTGCCAAGGCCTTTGACAGTGTGGAGTGGCACTACCTTTGGGCTGCCTTTAGCTTTGGTCCTCGTTTCTGCACTTGGGTTCACTTTTCTTTATTGTCATCTCTTAGCCAACATTAAAATTAATGATTTCCTTTCTTCTCAATTTCCTTTATGCTGAGGCACTAGACAAGGTTGTTCCTTGTTCCCATTGCTATTTGCCTTAGCTATTGAACCCTTGACTGCTCTTTTTTTGGCAATCTGCGGATGTTGTTGGCTTTAGACGGGGCACTCATGAGGAGAAAATCGTTCTATATGCTGACGATACCCTTCTTTTTTCTAGCAGATATGGGCCCTTCCCTACCTAGTGTTATGAACCATGTGTCAGATTTTGCAAAATTTTCTGGATTGGTAGTTAATTGGGACAAGTCCACTCTACTCACCCTTGATCCTCTGCCTGCCTCCTTGACCTCAGAGCTTTCCTTTATACCCACTCAGCTCTCTATTACGGTATGTACCTAGGGATACGTATTACTACATTATCAGATTATCTCCCTCTTAATTTGACTCCACTTTTACACAAATTTAAATCACAACATAAGTCTTGGCTTAAACTCCCTCTTTCAGTTTCTGGCAGGGTCAATTTGATAAAAATGGTTTGGATGCCTCTGCTCCTATATGTCTTACACAATTCCCCAATTTGGGTTCCTCAGAACATTTTTGATCAAATTAACACCATTTTTCGTGAACTTATCTGGAGGCAAAAGCAGGCCAGATTAAGATTGGATATATTGCATAGACCTAAAAACTCAGGTGGCTTGTCCCTCACCAATCCTTGGCTATATTTTATAGCTTCCCAGCTGCAACATCTGGCTTGATGGGCACAGGGAGGAGTGTATCCGCAATCTTTTAATATCCTTTTTTATCTTTTTGCTGAATTTGATTATACTGTCGATCAGCTATACTAGGATGGTGTACTATGCTCCTTTCATTACCTACAATCTGAATTTCAACTACATAAAAACTGCTTTTTGGGGTTTCTCCAGGTGCGTCATGTGCTACACTTACAGTGCTCTCATGAGCCCCCTAAACTTTTTTCTACTCCAATCTTTGACACACTGTTTTCTTCCGAACATTTCCTTTTCGTATTCTAATTTTCTTGCTTAAATCAATGTCTCAGTGTCCATTGCCCTGCAGGAGAGGCTGGGAGAGTGATCTGGGTCCTATATCTGATGATGCCTGGGATTATGTTCTGGAAAATGTTTCCCAAGTTTCCCTCTCAGTTACTGACAGACTGAAACAATTATTTGTGGTGCATAGGATATATCGCACTCCTGAATTTCTCTTTAACATAGGCTATAGGGATGATTCCTTGTGTTCTAGGCGTGGTTTCCACCTGGGATCCCTGATTCACTTACTGTGGCGCTGCCCTAAACTGGTACGCTACTGGCAAAAGGTTGCATGTACTCTTAATTCTGTTTTTGATGTTACATTGACTCCCTCCCCTCTTCTTTGTCTTCTGGGTGTCTTGATGACCCAGATTTTGACTCCCCTATATTGCTGGCTCTTAAACAAGCGCTATTTACAGCCACCCGTCTCATAGTGCGTAAGTGGATCTCACCATTCCCTCCTAAGGTTTCTGCTTGGATGGTGGAACTTGATAGAATTGTAGCATTTATACCTATCACTTATCAATTAAGGGGCTCATTGCATAGATTTTACTCAATATGGTCCAAGTGGCTATAATTTCGTACTGCTGTTATGCCTACTTGCTCTCCCTGCTAGATGGTGCCAGTTCTCACCCCATTCCTCTATAATGGTCATCGTATAGCTCCATTTGTTTATTATTGTCTTGTATTGATGCTCTCAACACGTCCTTCCATTTATTTTATTTGTTTTTTTACCAGGATGCGTGTATCCCTGTGGTGTGGGTTATGTATACTACCTTCCTCTCCTTTTTTCTTTTTTGTTTATTTCTATATTTCTACTGCTTTGAATGCTTTTACCTTTTGTATTTGTTTTTTTGTATCCAGTTAATAAATACTATCTGATTTATTTTTTTTTAAAAGAGCACACCGGGCATGCTTCTGTCAATGCTGGTACACAGAACTGCTTCAGAAGTTCTGCAGTGCAGCCTCTAGCACTGGATGGGAGTCTAATCTGTAACAGGTTTCCTTTAGTCAAATGCTGACAATATATACTACGCTTGAAAATCTTTTCAAATTACATTGAACATTTGTGTTGCTTCTTCTTAACCCCTATATGATCCAATCATCACTAGTGATAAACAGATCAATTGCATTAATCATACAAGTCAGGGTAATTCTGTTTCTCCTTTCTTTACAGAATACCTCATCTCTGCATCAGGAAATATACTATACAATTTGGGCATTAAAGTTTTCAACAATATATGACATGTTAGATTATGCCTTTCTTTTTCTAAAGGATTTCTGTGTTTCTGTACGCCTTCTGGATAGGCATGGTTTGAAGATATGTTAGGCTGTACTTTCTCAATTGCATTATATGAACAAATAACAGAGAGGGCACTCAGCCAATAAACCTTGTATAACTTTTATATAACGCCAGAAACTTTAAAAACTCCCATCACTCCTCCCCTCTGTTCACCAGTAGAAGCACCAGCAAAGCCACAGAAAGATGAGAAGTGGTTTGCTCGTCTCTCTTGCCTTAAAGACGTGCAGCTAACTTTTTATATAAAGTAACAGCTCCTTAGCTTATTGTGTGCTAAGAAAACCTATGCTGTTTTATTGAAATCTTAATTCTTTAAATTTCAAACTGAAGAATGATGAAGAATTACTCAAAAAGCATATTTTTACTGCAGTTTGCTGTGTACTTACACTGCATTTTGCAAGTCACCTGCCAGCATCAGCGAATAGCCAGTGGCCCAAATCCTCTATGGAGGCAGAGGGTGCAGTGGCAGAACAATGGAAGAGTGTACAGCCTACTAAGCCAAGGAGCTGAGTACCAGCCTTCAAGAAGATCCTCTGTCTCCAGTGCATCTCATAATCCTTTACTACTACTGAGCAGCAGAAACAACACCTCTCCAGGATCTTCTGGGAGACCACATGCCCCCAGATCAGAAAACGTACAGGGTGCAGTCCGACAAACTACAGCCTCAAGCCAGGCAAGCGATTCAGCCAGTCGTCTCTGGTTCCAAGCTAACAGAAGAAGCCAAGTAGAGGATACTGCTGGAAGACAGAGAAACAGAACAGAAAGTACCACAGAAAGAAGACAAGGTACAGCTCAGTTACCAAGTGCTCAGCAGACCCAAAGAATAAATGCCACCACAAGCAACAGAGCCACGCTGGACATGATGCAAGGAGATGATCCCTATAACCCATATAAATACAATGAAGACAATCCCTACTACAACTACCACGACACCTATGAGAGGCCAAGACATTCCGACAGGCAGAGAAATGGCTATGGTACCCGCAATCATCAGTATGGTAAGAAGAAGCAGAGAATATGTAAACTTTACCATTTTCCCAAATAATTTTTAGTACTGGAATGTTACCAGGTTATTTTAACATCATGTTATCCAAAAAAAACTACTGTCTGCGATGCAAATATGCTTGCCATTTAGGGGTTAAGCTTTCTCACTCTAAGCAGTGTAGGCAAAGAATGGGCAACTTTAGAAATCCATTCATGACACCTCATGCTGGATGAGAATTCCACTGGAATGTACATTAGTGTTAACTAATAGGATCATAGCAACAATTTCTCTAAAAAGAAATGTTTAAGATCAGATTGTTTTTAAGAGGACCCGGATGAACCTTTGGGGCTCAAGTTTACAGATGTTTCTC